GAGAGAGAGAGAGAGAGAGAGAGAGAGAGAGAGAGAGAGAGATGTAGGGTATTTTCATCTATTTTTACGCAAATGTACGTTTTTTACTTTTTCCAATTATGTAATGAGTAACGGCTTACTTACTTACGGCTTCGATCTCAAACGAATATAATTTATTTATTTTTTTTTTGCTGGCGCTCTTCTCTAAAAAAAACAATTAAAATTTTTATACCTTACCCCGAAGCATGATTATCCAAACCAAAGATGAGTCCTTTAATTTCAAATATATATTTATACATATGTTGTTGATCGACAGAGGATCTTAAGTCGATATAATTCTGTACGTTTGCGTTTTAGTTTACCGTTGCAAGTTTGAAAACAAGTGTAACATTAACCCAAAATTCATTCCACCCAACCTTCAATGGAAAAAAAAAATGAACCTGGACCACATAAAAACGCTCTCATTATATAGAGACACTAAATTGTAACTTGCAACCAGTAGAGAACATTGATCGTAGGCAAATAAGAGATCCTAGTATATGAGTGGTATTGATCGCCATATTCAACAAAATTTTTGCAATTTGCTCGAAATGGCGGATTAACTTTATAGTGATGATCAAAGGGTAAACTGATTGTATTTAGGTCCTTTCCAAATACAACATTCCCTTAGATATAATTAGCAATAGAATTCTTACACTTGCTAATATTGACAGTGAGGACCTGCGTTATGAGAAAAGACAAAATATACGTACATTTATATTGTTCTAATATCGGTAAGCTTATTACTGTTATAAAAGTGTCTTCGTAAGCCACACCGGGTAAGTGCAAATACTAAAAAATTAAAAATGTAAAAATTAAATACAGACAACAATTTGAAGGCAAGAACGATCGTAATTCCACATCTACTTTAAAATATTTGCATAAAAATTGATTGTAATAAATTTTGATATCAAAGTATTTCTCTCTTTTATTTATTAATTATTTAAGATTTATATTTTTTATTATGAAGTTTTCTTTTGTTTTTTTTTTTGATTGGCATTTTGTTTTTTTTTTTTTTTTTTTCTTTACAATAAAAATTCTATTAAAAGACCTCAATAGCTCCCGGAACGCTCTCGCTTAGAAGCTAATAGGAATAAGAACAAAAGTTAAATAATAAACCGCTGAAAATATAATAAATCAAAAAATTAGAAAAATAAAATCATATATTTGAAGGGCATAGTTAGTTAGTCAATCAACAAAAACAAGCAAGAGAATAGTACTCATTGATTATTGAAAATTTGTTATTTTATGGCTTATAATTAAATGCTTTTCTTCTCTTACGTAACACTTAGGAAGCATTTTTTCAACTTAATTATGTATTTTGCAAACACATGCTTTAATAATTAATAAACAATTCATAACGTAACTGCATAAGAAAATTTACAAAATTTTAATAAAATTGAAATTGCTATTAACAGTTGCGAACTTTGTTTCGACAATGTTGTTTATCTTAATAAAAGTAAACGATTATAATTATAATCGCAAGTATATATTTATTTTTTTTGTTTCTTGTTATGCGGCTGTTGTTGTTGTTGTGATTGTTTTTGTTTTTCGTTCGTCCTCTATTGACTAAATTTAACACTAATATTATTAACTCTAGTTTTCATATGCTCTAAAATATCTTGTGAAAATTCTTCGAGTGTCGTGTAACGACTTTTTTGAAAATTAAAAATGTCTGCCAAAAAGCCCAATAATTGATCTCTAAAATAATGGCAAATATCTTTAAGGTTTTCATCGGGCCCAAAGAAACCCCACGCCATCAATGGAGATAATTGCTCGGATATAACATAAAAATGTGACATAAAGCCCTCGGGATATTTAAGCATGCGCTTTTTGGCCTTTAAAACTGACCAAACAGCTGTTGTCAAAGCCTTTGAAATGCAAATGCACATGTCAGGGATATAAAGAAAAAGAAGAAAATTAATGAGTATATCGTTATCGAAATGCGACTTTGCCAACCATTTTGCCAAATTGTATGGGAAACGTACCGTTTCTTTAAAGCCATTCGATAAAAAACGATTTTGCACTACTGCTATAACACTGGCTGGCGGTGCATCTAGATCACGAAACGAATCCAATATAATAAAATCCAAGCATATATCGTAAAATGTCATCACTTTGACATTCCGCTGTTCAAGTTCTTTTTGTATGTCATCCCAATTGTTGGAATCTTGTATGTAATTAATCATATCTTCGTAACCCACCAAGAATTCTTTTGTATCTTTATCGCCCAGACACAAAAGATCAGTAAGTATTTGACGACCTGTATCGATGACCAATTGACCAATGGCAGGATCCTGTAATGTATAGACATTTAGCTAACATATTATCTAATTTGAAAAATATTGAACGTAATTGAACAAATTACTATATACAGTTCATTTCAAATATCAGACTAACCGAACGTGAAGTGAATTAATGTAATGAAGATAAATGTTCACGTCCTGAAAGTCCAACATTTCCAAAATCGTCGAATAATTTTATTACTCACTTTAAATAGATACTGAAACGCTAAACGTACACAATGCAATTTAGCTAAGTATTCGGTTTCATTAGCGCAATGAACTAATTCTGTATGGGCGGTGCGATAAGGTATGGGCGTTTCCTCGTGATGTATTATAGCTGTTTGGTATAGTGGATACTCATCATATTCGGTGTCAGCAAAACCATCGAATTCTCTCAAGTCCGCCACTTGATCTAGAGCAGAAGCAAAACTTTCAGCCGAATCGAAATTCGGATCCGAAGCCGTTCGGCTAATGGACACCGAACGGCGTGATTGCTTATCTTCTTCGTTTAGACTTTCTGTAATACCTATGTTGCTTTCTTCTATGATTTCCTCAATACTTGGCTCTTCGCGAAATAATACGGAGCGCTGGTCAAGAAATAATAATTCACTCTGTTCTTGAAGTGTGTACGCCATATCTAAAAGATTTTGTATTTCCCGGCAGAATTCAGACTCCTCCGCGGTTGTAAGTAAAGCCGGTACGCCGCCGGGTGAGTAATGCGATGCCAACGCATCTTCCCAGAAATTTATAACAGTATCTAAGGCTTCCATGCCCATAACACCTAATTGTTGAGCGGTTAACTGAGAGGCGTTAACCCCGCCTTGACTCGGTATGACCGATGTTAAAGCTCCCGGTCCAATGGAGCCACTAGCTACAGACAGGCGATCTGATTGTGAATAAGCTACGGTAGAGCCTACAGGACTGCCAGAACGTGCGGAAGCTTTTGAACCGGCTATAGATATCAAATCATTTGGGCTGCGCATGCTGTTACGTGTACGCCTTCCTGTATACTTCCGCGGCCGGCGAGGGGGACGAGGCGGCTTCCGTCTTCGTAAATATCGAGACATAACACCCAGCAAAGTTACTCCAGCTGCTATAGACATGAGGACAACCTAACATGTTAATAAAAAATTATTCTAGAATTTGGATTCTGCATTAAGAAGAACACATACCTTTTGCGTCGTCGACATACGTACAGGAAACAAACGAATAGTTGGCCATTTTGCCGGCATCAAGCTCTTTAGCATTTTGCCTAAATTTTGTATAATTGTAAATGTCGGTTTTATCTATCTAACAACTGTGCGTTTACCTAGTTATTTAACTATCAATTAAATACTTATTATATTATAATTCCCTCGATCGCATATTGAAAGAGAAAGTTAATGGTTTTGGTAAGTATATCATTTGCGTTACTTTAAGCTTAGCTATAAGAATTTAATAAATAATTTTTGAATTCTTGCCCAGGCAGAATTAATCCGGTCTTTTACAGCGCAAACAGACGCTTCCGTTCCCTAAATATGTTTATCATGTGTTTTTGTTTTACTTATGCCTTAGAAATCAGTAATTTTCGCCGTTTATTTCATTCACTATTTTTAATATACACAAAAAAGCGACTTAATTTTTGCTAAATAAGATCATTACAATTTCATATCCACTTTCACCGTCTAAATGCCTTTTCTCTTTTTTCTTTAACAAATATAAAAATCAATTGCATCACAATATAATGCAGAGTTGTTAAGTTTCTTTCTCGTTTCGCAATATTTTTGGCTATGACATCTGTTAGAAAAAGGTTGCAATTTTTGATTACGTTTCATTCCACTGTTACACTTTTGAAAAACTTCTGTTAGGCACGTTGCACGTGCGTAAAGGAGTAAAAGAAGTGATCAAGACCATTATATATTGTAAAATGGAACACTTTGCAGGCAGCATTCACGCAATAAAAATCTTATGTAGCATCTTAAGTCCGAATATGAAACCAATACAAACGAAATGTTAACAAGAAATCGAGAAAAATGAAATGAGTACAATTTCAGATTTTTGTGCAAGATGGCTGTGCAAGATGGCTGTGCAAGATGGCTACGCACGATAAGCATATTTTTGCGATATTTGCGATAGAAATACTTGTGTGCGCTTATGTGTACATTTGTTTAAGGAATTATATGCATGAAGATAAGCAATAGGAAATTTACTTTTTGATTTTATTATTATTATTATTATTAATTTCGGCAGAGAAATAAATTCTAAGACTAAACTCTTAAAAGCACTAGCATCTAAGGCTATCGGCTTTTATTAAAAACTCTACCGCACTTGAGATTCGAACCCACGGCCATTGACTTGCTAGTCGAGATTCCTCGCCTTCGGCCACTCAGGCGGATACTTTTTGATTTTATTTTTGTGCAATTGTTTACTTATAGCATTGTGATGTAAGCTTTTCTTTGCAAGTGGACTTAATATATTTTCTTAAATTTTCACTATTTTTCTACATATCTATTTGTTTATTACTACATTTGTTCTTTTTAATAATGGCGTACATGGTATGGGAATTGTGCTAATACACTTCCGCACAAGCTTATTTAATACATTCAGAGATAACTAAATGACAAGATGGCCCAACAGTTTGTTTCAAATTCAAGCTAGGAGAGTATTACGGAGTTTTTGTGTTCCTGTTATCAATAACAGTAGTAACGGTGTTAATAAGCAACCGCTTGATTGCTTCCTCTTTCATTCTCATTATTTTTATGAGCAAAAGTTCTGTAAATAGTTACTTGATAAGACGTCACATTTTCTCTAACATTTGCAAGGCACCAAGCAGCACATATAGTTGCAAGTTTTTAAGTGAATATGCGCTACTGTATAAATATAAGTGTTCATTTACGAAGAAACTTTACCATATACACATACGTAGCAAATATAATTTGCTTTTTCATTGAAGAATTCTAAATTTTTTGTAAGATGATGTTTTTTTTTTAATATATAAACATATATCGTAAGCTAAATATATATACAAATTAAAAAATTATTTTCGTTATTTTTTCTTGAATACTACCTAAGACTACGCCTAGTTAGTCGCTCAGTTGACAAAGGCATAACATTTACCGATTAGGAACACATTTAATAGGCTGCAACCAGTCTCCGCCTCTTTCTTTGCTTCGTACTTTTTTCTGACTTCTTTCTGAGTATGGGCAGATGGACGGATCGATTATTAATATTTCAATTGTCTTTGAGTACCGAACGGTTCAAAACGATTTAATGTTGTTGATAGCGTTTGGTAAGCGTTTTGCCATACTTTAACAGCTAATGACGATCCTTGTGGTTCGTCCAAACAGAGAATCGCAACCGATATGCATGGTACGCCTTAATTTGTCCATTAATTTTTATTGTTGACCTTTTCGAAATACTTTCCACTTTTCGTCCTTAGGTATAGGGCTCGAAGTATAATAGATTTCGTGATTATGAATAAATATGAGTATTAAACCGTTTAGACGGATGAAAGAAAAAAAAAGGATTGAAGACCAAGTTACTTCTTTAGGAAAAGCTCTAAGACCTCACTCATAATTTGGGAGACAGATAAATAAACTGATCTTATTCTTATCACAAATATATATATCTTACAAGTGCTCTGACGCTTCATTCTATGTCTAACGAGAGATTAGAGTGTCTAATATAGTTTTTGCGGGCATAGCGTTCCCGCAGCCGTACCAGTTTTGTATATTAAAATTATGTAGAGTACCTACCTATGCGATTATTTCCTTGAGATCTTGGATAAGAAGGATTAATAGTAAGTAGAACATGCATACGATTGCAGTTAACTTTAAATTAAGTTTTTATTATTATATAATGCTTTTTTGAGAATAGTTTTACACAATCCACAAAAGAAAACTCAATGTTTCTTGATGAGATTGGCTTCACATCTCAAACTATGATAGATTTCCTCGTTGGTGTGCTCGTTGGTTAATTCAGTGACAAATTTGACGGCACGGTCGTTGAAGAGAATATTCTTCTCATGAGTCTTGTATTCACCGAAGAGATTGAAGACATCTTCAAATCTGCCGTTGTGACCGAACTTTTCAGAAAGAGAGACAAACAAGTGTTTAATGGTTTCTTGTTCCACAGGGGTCATGGATTCGCGGATGAAAATGCCAACGGGCAAATGAGCTTCCAAATTGCAAGCACGCCATTCAGTGACGGGTTTCTTTTCCAAGTTGGCGCACAACAATTGTTTGTTTTTCCATTGTTCCAAATCCTTGGCGTTAACAATCATAATGTTCTTTTCAGAGGAAGGTGTAGTTTGGCAGGTGTTGATATTGCGCAATTTGTTTAAGTAAGCGGCAGCTTGGTGAGCACGTTCATCTTGTCCGTTGTAGTGACTAAGCAAAAAAAAAAAAAAATTTTTTTTTTTAATTGACGACATAGTCCTTCTCGCACAGGTACCTTTAATACTTACATAGGCATGGTTTGCAAATTTTGATGAGTCAAAGTAGGTTCCACAACAGCTACATACACATCATTTTCACCATAGCTTTCATAAACAACAGGCTTGAGTTTATCACTGCGAGCTACTTTGTAGTTGTTAGCGTGGATGGCTGCTAAATCGGCTTTACCTTCTTTAACAGCAATAACGCAATCTTTCTCTTGGACGCATTCCAATTCAGGACGGATGTCACGAGAATAAGCAGCACGGCGTAAAGTTTCGCATTTATTGTATTCGGCTTCGGTTTGAACACACATCTTCATCTTTCTAATAGCACTGCCATCACGTTCGATAACATCTTTGTAACCAGCACGTTCCAAATATACTTTAGGATCGACAGCTTCGGGCTTGTTGTGGTAGACAGCATCTTCTTTAATCAACAAATGAGCGGCGCTTTCTTTGTTTTGAGCGTGCAAGCCGTTGTCGAAGAATTTTTCCAAACGTTGTTGCAATTTGTGCAATTTTTCTTGACCCTTAACGGCATCGTAATTGGAAACATAACCAGTCCAGGGACGTTGGGCCCAAGAGCAAGCAGGTCCAGTAATGGGACGTCTGGTACCATCTTCACACAAATATTCAAATTCGGAAGCATCACCCTCAGCGGTAGTGCCAGGAGTCATCTGAAAAATTTTAAAATATCGAAAAGCAGGGTTGTATTTTTTATATAAACATTTATCCCTCGATGGGTCACGGGTCTTTAGTTTCCAAAATGAATGTATCTATGGTTAACTCAAGACCCAGAGAACAAAATAAAGACTAACGACAATTTGAAGCTTAGTACTCTCACGCTGAACTCTGCGTAAAATAGCAGAGGACAAAAACAACGCAGCCTGGGGGCTGTGAGTACGAATAACTTTAGGTTTTTTTTCAATTTTCGTGTTCATACTTACACCGAAATATTTCTTGATGAATTGCACTTTAGTGAAGGCAACATCACCTTTGCCTTTATCCAAACAGCGAATAGCGCCATCATAGCCAGAGTATTTATCGGGATAGTTGCATTGTTCGGGATTTTCGCATAAAGCGCACAAATTGGAGTATTTCTTTTCTATTAAAAAAAAAGAAAAAAAGAAAAAAGAGATGCTTGTTATAAATATTTCCGCTAAACTTTTCTTATGTTTTCACGAATACATACTCAATAAACGATCAGTTTCGTGGTGGGGAGAGTAGGTGCCGACCAAGCAGGATTGAGTAAAGAATTCCGACAAAGCTTTAAGTTCACGTTCGGTGGCGGTTATTTCGGGATCCATAGATACTTTAAGAATATTGCTATTCTTCAATTTGGTAATTGGGATCTAAGGCGGAATTTAAAGCAAATTAAAATGTACGCTAAACTTGGAGATTATGCATACGGATGACATACTTTGTAACCAACGTTGCGACCGTAACCAGTATGGCAGGACTTAGCACCGCGTAAATCCTTCAAACTGTGAATGTTAGAGTTTTTCTTAACTAAGATAATACCCTCGTAACGGAAATCGGCTAACGTAAAAAATTTTGAAGAAGAGAGAGAGAGAGAGAAAAAAAAGAAGCAAAGTCACTTTATGCGTTATCGCTTGTATGCAAAGGTTACTAACCATCTTTGTCATCCTTAGTTCTAATTTCGGAGATGACTCTGAAATCTTCATTTTTGGTGTGATAAGCTACGTACATGTCTTCTGGTTCGCTAGCCAAAACGTCGGCTTTACGTTCGTTAATCATATCTAAACAATCAATACGATCTCTACCGGCTACACATTGCATATTAATACCGGCCTCTGAAGGATCCTTCAAGAGGGTCAAACAATCCTCATAATATTTTTGAGGAACACACATACGGTCTATAAACGCAATCAAATCACTAATAATTGATGATAAGTTTTCAGAAATTTACTCACAGATTCTTTCCTCGGCGGCTTGGCTTACAGCCAACACACCCATTACGGCGGCTAGACACAATAATTTTGTTGAAATCATGCTTGCAATCTGTGCGAATTCAATGGCTTGACTGCTAATATTCTTAATGCGATGAGTTTCTTTATATACCTTCTGATCTAGTCTCTAAAGAGAGCGCAAGTTGAACTCAGTTTTCATTTCTTTCTTTTTTTTTTTTTTTTTTTTTTACTTTTTTTTCACATAAATTATTGTATCAGTATCCATGGGTACGGCGCATTTCTATCTCTATTCGTGAACATTCAAATATAAATATATATATATATATATACATATATATACATATATATACATGTTGATATAGTTCACTCCAGCAGATCGGGATTTACCCATACAATATAATAAAAAGAAAAAAAAAAAAAACAAATCAATTGCATTTTTTATTGCTACTGTAGGTTTTGCGAACTTATTTTTATTTTTTAATAATTTTTTATACTATTTTTTTTTCTGCAAATATTAAAACTTCTGCTTAAAGGGGAAATGAGACAACATAGAGAATCAGTTTTGTTTTCTTCCAAATCTGATGACCTTGAATATTGTTTGATGTTAATGTTCCTTCAAGAGAATGAGACGTGTACGCTTACCTCAAGCATTGTAGAGATACATACGTGCCTGTATATATAAACACCGTGAGTCGTTTGTGCAATTGCAGTTAAATCATAAACTGCATAATGAATTTTAAATTAAATTTCTTTCCTTTACTTCTTGCCGTAGCGCATTGAGAGCATTTCTATCACTTTCTATGTAAACTTAAGAAATTGTTAACTACATACAGGCAGCATACTTCCTTATTTTCAGCAGCTTTCCTTATCCTAAATGTCAATGAATAGTAACTAAATGCCTGATTTTGAAAGTAAAATCTAATTAAAATCACTTACGAAACAATAGCAAAAAAAAAAGAAGAAAGTTCTTTTATTTATTATTATCAAGTGATAAAGTCTCGATTGATTTGCAAAGATTCCGAATTATCGATAAACGGTTACTCTTCACTTAAACATGACAATTAGGTCACAGAGATAGATCTTAAACAAAAACTAAATCAATTTTACATTCTATAATCATTCCTGAAGTTTGGAGATAGTATCGATTTTGCATTTCGTTCTATTCTAGGGTAGTCTATTGTTCCATTTACAAAAACCAGAAATACGCGAAAGAAACGATATAAGGCTCAAGGAGAAAGAAATCGTTTCGGCTTCAGAAATATTATAAGCAAAATGAATCATGACTGTCCACTTCTCTCTGGGTCCTAAGTTCTATGGGCCCTATCGTTAAATCTGATTTTAGTTTACAGATACATATTTTTGATCAGAGTCCATAGCGCGTAAAAAGTTTAAAAAGTTTTATGTGAAGTTGAAGCATTCAATTTTTGTCCGATATCATACAATGTGGGGTAAGTGTTGTTAAGGCCATTTTTAAAGGTTCAGCGCTAGCGTAAAGTTTTATTGGCCGCTGAAAATCTCCAATTGATTGAATATACCACTAACGTTCATCTCGCATAAGTAGCCGAGTAGCCAAGTATCCAAGTATCCGAGTAGCCAAGTAGCCGAGTAGGTAAGAATCGCGGTTACCAGGTGAGTGTTTGCGGTATAATGAGTGTTCAGCCCGGTAAAGGTATAACACTAGATTGCGGCCATTTCCTCCCCATTTCTTTCTTTCTTTCTCTTTTGTGACGCGCTTGGGATCATCACCGCGTTATACGAGTATTCGACGTCCCCCTGAATGATTGGTCATATCGAGAAAAAAAAAACAAAATTCTCATAATTATTATCCCAGCGGCTTATTAAATGGGACTTGGACAATTACCGCTTTATTATTACAGCACAAGTATACATACAATTCTTTCAGTCCAAAGGGAGATAAGTAAACATTGGGCAATTTTTTATGGAAAAAATATAATTCTTATTACATTTGCAAATGTACATATGGTTTCTCCTATGTTCGCGGTTGCTCTTAACGTCAACAGCAGGTAATGGACCATATTTTCTGCATCTTCTTCTATTACATTGCCGAGAACAAAGAAGATGCGGTTTGGAGAAACAGTTAACATTGCTCTCTCGCCGGTAGCTCCCTTTTATATAATTTTCAATAGAGAGAAGTAACAACCAAGAGGAATAAACAAAATTTTGGGAGTAGAGTGCGTAGACGTATACGCAGATTGAATGAAAAATTTTCAATCGATAAAGACAGAATATATATATCTATATAGATTCATTTTGAAAGAAGTGAATTACTAATGCTGAGCTCATTTAATTTGCTTAATGCACTTAAATCATCAACGATCGCATTAGAATTTTAATTAGCCGAAGTGACTTGGCTGAGACTCTACGCTTTTCAGATTTAATTGACATAAATGTTTGAAAAGCATTCTATTTTCATTTTACAGTGAAGAAGATGAAATTCCGTTATTGAAAATCTTATCATTATTTTATCTGTTAGATAAGGAATTATCTTAAGAGTTTAAGAAGTTAAAAAAAAGCATGCATGCAATCAATTTAAATGCATGCATACGAATGCATCAAACATTATATTAAATTATGTTTGCCGGTTGAAAAGTGCAAGAAATTTGAAATTGGCCGCAGTACGAATTAAGCTCATCTGCTTGAGTTCTTTGCCTTTTTCTTTTCTTGTGTTCATTTTATACCAACATATAATTTATTAAATAAATTTATATTCTGACTCTATCTCGGTCTCTTGTCTCCTGTCTCCTTTTATTTGTTAATATTATAAGAACTGATTGCGAGGCAAATGCGTTACACGACTTGTTTATGATACGTATCCATAAATTTCAATCAGGTTTTTATCCATTGGCTGCTCAGTAGATTAACTCTAGTTCTCTGTTTGGTTTCTCTTTTTTTCCTTTAGTTTTATTTATCATCCATCCATAAGAGGTTTGTGTTGCATGAATTTCAGAAATTCAAAACCGGTTTTCTTTTTTTATCCACTTTCCTGACTTAAGGATATACTATTTTTATTAATGCAATTGTAACACCCATTAAAAAGAGTAGAAAGCGAAGCTTTGTGCAAATCTTTTGCGCAGCATGCAAATTTTCATTCGAATTAAATTATGAACCGATTCGATTAAGTTCATCTCTTCTTGCATCTCTCAAATTCGTCAATATTGTTTTATCGGCAAATATATATCTCGAATGTAATTAATCGCGGGAAAAATTAACTTTTTCAATATCAAAATATTTTCATTGATTCTTCGTCCACGAACTATTCGAAAATTTAATTGAGCATTCATTAAAAATATACAAGTCACAATTCTCTATAGGTAAACGCTGGTTTACAGGCATTGTCGAAATGAATATAAAATCTTATGTGTTTGGACGGACAATCAACGCAGGGTGACGCGAGGTTGGGTATCTGAAATTCATCTCAAAGCGTATATAGTTTTTTTAATTTGGATTTTAGCCATTTGTTGTTAGTAATGCATCGAGTAGCTCTCGACGTTATCATGCATGCCCATAATTAACACCTGTCTCGATGTTTGCTTTTATTTATTAATTTATTTATTCAGTTATGTTTTTTTTTTTCATTTTGTTTATTTCAATAATTTGCCGGCCGGTAAAAATTTTTATACTTATCAGAATGTTCGTATAATCTTTTATGCCATTTTTATATACATATTTATAAACATATTATTACACTAAGAGATGTGGATTCCTTTGCTTTGCCATTTCGTTGGTGACATGCAATTTTACTCAAAAGATTTCTACATCAGAGATTTCGAATAGGATGGCAATTCAGCCAAGTCTTTCTATCTATCTATTTATTGTTGGAATCCCTATGTAAACAGCAGTCTATGCGAGAGCTTTTTGCTAAAGGTTGCAAGAAAAAGATGCAAACTTTTACATGCACTTTGCTTAAATTTTATATAGGATCGATCTGAGTGACCAAGTGAACAAAGGATCTCGACTAAAACAAGTCGAAGCATCGTGAGACAGTGTTTTCAATAAAATTGCTAGCGCTTTATAATTTTAGTCTTGGACTTTACTCCTCTAGATAAGATAATTATCATAATAATAATAATAATAATAAATTTTATATATTTTTTGCTATCAAAATTATCCCTCAAGCAGAATCTTTTTAAAATTCTTAAAAAAATTTCTCGATCGCCTTCTTCTTAAAGAAAAATCCATATCAATTGTAATGCTTGCTTGTTAGTAAGAGCGAAAACTTGAATGAATAGTAGTATGCAGTTGTACGGGAGAGGTTTACTAAGGAGTCGTATGTGTCGATTGCCCACTGGGGCCCTTTTTAAATTTTCGATATTGAATAAACTCGATCGTAATTTTCAATATGTTATCCGACAATAATTTTACCTTGAAAAGATTTCTCATTCGATGATAAGAATTCTGCCTACTCGTTACAACCTACTTGGGAATCGAGAATGAAGGCTAACAATATCTTCAACTAATGGGTGGCATTATATATGTACTACATATCAAAAAAAAAAAACAAAAAAAATTTGGATTTGCTTTCTTTTTCTTTACAACGAGTCAGTAAACACAACAGCCTAGGCCTACAGCGTACAATTAATGAAAAGCTCTTCATTGTCCAATCGACACGCCCGCAATCAATAATACTAAGTACGTTTTTTTGTAGTTAAGTTGAAAGTTGAGGTGTTTGCAATTCGTCTTAAGGTCAAATGTAGTGCAGCAATTTCGTAGATTAAAACGGGGAAATTTCGCTAGAAAAGAAACTACTTATCATTGGTTAGGGGTCGCTAGTTCGCCCGATCTATTTAATTACATTAAAGATTTTCTAAGAAAAAGCAAAGATAATAACAAAGTATAAAATAAAATTGGAAAATTCGAAGTGTTTTACTTTAATTACGTAACGAAATGTTGATCAACTTAGTGTGTACAACTAAGTAAGTTTGTAAAATTAAGATGAATACAGAGAAGATAAGGTCTTAATTATTTCTTTTATTTTTTCTTCAGCAATTAAAGTTTTCTTGCTTTCAACTATCAATTTCCTCTCTTTCCCTTCTGAATTATTCGTAAAAAGAAAAAAGAAAAAAAAAAAAAATAAATAAAAATAAAAATAAAACACAAACACACACATACAAAAGAAAAAAACAAAAAAGAAAAATTAAACTTTCTTTGTTTTTTCTCAATCTTTGTTTGTTTTAGAAACAGAGTCACGCAAATTTAATGGCTTCGTGGTTAAGTTATAAATTTTGATGAAGCAGTCATGATTAATACTTGTGAACTTACTTCCAGATATATCATAGAACTTATATATATGAAACAATTGTATCTATGGGATCGCTATAGGCTTTCAATTCAAAGGTCGCATTCATTTATTTTAAGAAACAATTTTAAACGATGTTTGGCTAATTATTTCATTCTTTACAAGAACTAATTTTTTTCTCCTTACATTTTCACTTTAACACATATATATCTCGAGAAAATTAAGAAAACGTAATATTCTTTAAATTTTTCTTTTTTTTTTTAATTTCATGAAATCTGTCGTAATGAATTTATATGACATTGGAATTTTTAATTATGTCAGTTTAAATTCACGTTCATGAGGAATATTTGCTTATTGATGTACATATATATATATATATATATACAAAAAAAATATGGCACGTTTTCATATATATTAAGTTCAATGTGTCATTATCATCATTCCAAAAAGGTGTGAAGGGAAGCATGGAAGGAAGCTACATTTGCCTTGTAGTGAATGCTAAGTCAGAGGATTAAAATTCATATATTCACTTTAGGATCAATATCTTTTTCAGCTCATGAATTATTGATAAGAACATCGTCAAAATAGAATACACTTTTAATTTTTCTGATCTTTTAGCTATTTAAATAACCATCTCCTTCCTTTAGTCCGACCAAACTAATAGCAACATTTATGAAAGATTTTAATGCTTTCTCTCAATTTTAAAAACATGAATAGACGGACATTGTTATATTACGCTGATTAAGAATGTATATACATTATATGCGATCTCTGATACTTATTTATGCCCGTTACAAACCGACATACAAGCCTGATATGTATCAGTCATGTCACTTCAGTTATGGATATGCGAAGAAAATATAAGCGTACAGAAGTTTTCTTTATAGAGTGGAAAAAAAACCTACAGACCTCTTGTTGTTGTTGCAAACATAATCTAAAGCGTCTGAAAGTTGATTAACATTCACCCTACTACAGTTGAAGTTAAACTGACCTTTTCATAAGTCGTGCCCAGACTTTTCATAAATTGAGTTTGAACAACAGACGGCCAGACAAGCTTAGATCGATTAAGAAAATGATTCTGAATTGAATTGAACTGAACTACATAATAAAAAGTGGGTCCATCTTAATCCCATCTCTACCACAAGGAGCGGAGGATATAATAAAGCTGGTTCCGCCAAGTGCTATTACCCCTTTGACTCATGTATTTAATCACATAGTAACTGCTTGCTCATTTCCCAACTGCTCGAAAATAGCAATGGTAATTCCTATCGAGAAAAACGCATCTGCTGTTCTTCGTTAAGATTTTCGCCCAGTTACCGTTCTTCCTGCTCTACCAAAAGTCTTTGGACGACTGGCTACATTTGAATGCTAAAAATTTATTATGTGCTAATCAATCGGGCTATAAGTCTGGGCATAGTTGCAATACGGCAGTGCTCAAAGTTTTGGAGGAGGTTTCTTTGTCAGCTTAAGAATCGGAATAAAACTATGTATTAGTTGAAAAATTAAATCTGTTAACCTGTTTATTCTGTTCTCTATAGTAAGCAGTGACAAAAATTTATATAGAAAGAGGATATTACGATAAAAGTTCGTAGTTGACCAGGGCTCTACCTGAAAAAGTGCATGATCCGCTCACAAGTACGCCTACTGTAAGTCATAAGCTTCAACTAATAGCTCTAAGAATTCGCACAAATACTATCGATGATCGAAAAAGTGGACAGATTCGAAACATTTTCAATAGCGTTCGTCCTTGGGTTAAAACACGCCAATGTACCAAATTTCATGGAAATATCGCATTTACGTGGACACGATTTAGACGGAGACACAGACAGACAGATAGGCTTAGATCAATTCAGATTATGATTTTGAATCGATCAGTATAATAAAAGATGCGTTTATCTTAAGCCCATCTGCGTGTTACGTACAACTAACTTAATATACTCTGTACCAGAAGTGGTGTCGGTGGTGTAGCGATGAAATTAATTGCGATTGATTTATAGGAGCGTTTCAGCCAAAAAAATGCTAACAGTAGAGGATTTGGATCTCATAGGTCTATTTTCATTGAACTCCCATTTATATAGGCGCTATCATGAAACGCAAACTCTTATATGAAGAGAAAATAGAGCCTTTCAATATGTGGGTTTTCATGGAAATTACGGCTTTGCATGAAAATAATGGGTGTTGGAAGATATGTAATAGTCAGAGTCGCTCGACTATAATTTTCCTACTTGTTTTCAAGACGTAAACATATGCAAAATATACTAAATTGGGTTTTCAGTCGCTTTGAGGTTTTAAACATTGCAATATATTTCAATTTGTTTAATTTGTCTTTAAAAAGCTATTGATGACATGAATATTTTTTTCGAAACTTTCATTATGTATTTAGATTTTATAAATAGAATTTATTTAGTTTAATTTACGAAGTTTAGTACAAATATATAGTTATAAGAAATTAAATGCAAATCTGCGATTTTACATTTTTCATGTATGATTACTAAATAAATGCAACGCTGTAGGCAAATATCTGATATAATTTAAAACAGTTGTTCGCCTTTCTGATAGCGATCAGCCGGTTTTTGTTTATATTTACTTTTCACATTTGTTTCTTCAATTGCTGTTCGTCCTATCTTTTCAAGTGCCAACATATTCATTTTTCATTCCCTTTCCATATTTTTTTTTCTATTCTTCCTTAATGTTTAGTATATTTTTCATTTTTATAAAAAGCGTACTTCTCGAGTGAATTTACAGAGCATAAGAATTGTTAAAAGTGTTTTTTTCACTTTAACTAGAATGTCTCAAGCTCAAGCAACAGGTGTAATAAATTATATAGTTATTTTATTAATATCTAATAATAACAGAGCTTATATAATTAATTTTTGAAAAGGAGCATTTTCTCTGCTAGCAAAGAGGCCGCAAAGCATCATTGAAAATCAAATTTATCGACGTCAACGTAGCCTTGAATTAATAAATGCTCTACCCAAAGAGCTAGATGATGATAAGCAAAATGAAACTAATCATAAGGTAGGGAATATATATATATATCTTAAAAATAATTTGAATTGTTATTTAGCATGTTTGATCTACAGACATACGTGGTAATAGTTTTCAGTGAGAAGGCCAAGCTACAACAATGCCAAGATGTTGAAAAAATTATACAACAATTTAATGTCTTAACTACATTGGAAGTACTTAGGTAAATGAGAAATATGAATTAATGATATACATAATATGTTCGATGATATATATTATTGTACTTTTAGCAAAACTGAAAAGTATTTGTACTTGTCAGCTACTACCGACAACTTATTACGTTTTGCTGACGAATCGGAACTTATAAAAAAGACTGTAACGGGTAGTATGCAAAAATTTAATTACCATTCGGTAGAAGATTTTCTTTTATCTGGTATGACTGCTAACGATATCGTACGCTATTGTGAAGCTCCTGTGCTCATTAAAGATGCAATTAAGCCTTCGCTATTATCCTATATAAGAAATGGTGTAATAGAAGATCTATTTCCTTTACATGACTATGTAAGTTTGCGTATGTTCATATAAATAGGCAAATTTCAAATAATTTTATTTGTAATTTCGACAGGAGTATTTAGAAAAATTCTCATTCAATTGGAGAAGACGATCCTTACCTATTGAAGAGATACGCAATTACTTTGGTTCTAGTATTAGTTTGTATTTCGGCTTCACTTTATTTTATACTAAGGCTTTAATATTTCCGTCGTTATTTGGTTTAGTGCAATACTATTATTCTTTCAATTTGTCTTTAGTATCAAGTTTCTACGTTATATGGACTACGGTACTATTGAGGTTTTATTTTCCTTTCTTGAGAGAGATTATTTTGAAAGTTTGATTTGGTTTTTTCAGATTTTCTTAGAATTATGGAAACGTAAATGTGCTGGTTATTCTTATCGTTGGGGTACAATCGAAATGACTAGCTTGGATAAGCCACGTACTGCGTATAAAGGTGAACTCAAACTAGATCCCATTACCAGCAAATTAACGCTACAATATCCTATGCGATACACGTATCTACAAATGTATTGCATTTCATATCCGGTAGTATTCTTATGTGTGACAGCTGCTGCCTACTTTGCTCTCTATCAATTTCAAATTGAAGCCGAAGTTTTAAATGATTTTGGTGCAGAATCTTGGCTTCTATATGTACCCTGTATTGTGCAATCAGTGTTAATATCAATTTTCTCATGGGCTTATGAGAAGCTGGCTACTTTCTTAACGGAATTGGAAAATCATCGTACGCGATCGCAATATGATCGCCATCGTGTCAATAAGTTAATGATATTCGAAATTGTTAATAATTTTTTTTCGTTGTTTTATATCGCTTTTGTCCTGCACGAGTTAAAACAACTGAAATATCAATTAATGATGCAACTATTAATATTTCAGGTACCTTCAAACCACTCTATTAATAGTGTCAAATAGTTTTTTTTGTTTTTTTGTTTTGTTTTGTTTTTGTGCTTTATATTTTTAGTTAGTTTGTATCGCTCAGGAGGTGGGCATACCTCTGTTGGCTGTAGTTAAACAAAAATTTGCTAAATTTATGCAAAAAGAGATCGATGAAGCGATAAAACATCAAGTTAGCGATCTCGCACGTTACGAGCAGTGCTTTTTCGAGTCCGGCTTGGACAAATATCAATCCACCTATGAAGACTATTTACAAATGTGTATACAATTCGGTTATGTGGTATTGTTTGCAGCAGTAGCACCATTCGCAGCTTTAGGTGCTTTAGTAAACAATATATTCGCTATGCATATCGATTTATTTAAGGTAATGCTTCATGATTTCAATAAAATTTTATTATATTTTGTATTCACCACCAAGCGGTTTTTTTTCTTAGGTCTGTGTTAGATATGTCAATTGATTACAATCGATTTTTGAATCGATTAATTCCGTTTGCTGAGCTCATTAAAAATTAAAATAATTAATTAATTAGAAATGAAATTTGAAAATGAGAATAGTCCGTGCACAATTACAGCTAAAGATATTGCGTTAAAATGAACTGAATGAATTTGAAATAAATATTTAAAAATTTATTTATTTCAATTACATTTAATAAGCTCTGCCATTGTTATGGTGGTGAATATCGAAGATTCGCTTTAAGGCGAACGGACAAGTAAACTTCTCACTTATTTACTTTGCTTTGCCTATTAGCTTTGTAACATATTTAAGCGTCCTTTTGCTCGACGTACGAAAAATATTGGTGCTTGGCAATCAGCATTTGAGCTGCTCTCAGTTATGGCTATTTTAAGTAATTGCGGTATCTTATATTTACAGCCAAATATTAAGTAAGCGTAGATGATTAAAACTTATAAATATAGTGATTATTTACATATTTAAATGTTTTCAAGGAATTTCTTTGTTAATTTATTCCCTAATACTTCGGATATTTCGTTTGTGCTATTCGAGCATCTATTATTGGGTTTGAAATTTGTTATACACAAGGCTATACATGAAAGACCTCGCTGGGTACGTATTGCTCTGCTAAAAGCCGATTACGAATCTAGTCAAGCCTACAAGAATATTAAGTAAGTAAATTGACCATAACTATGGAATACAATTTTTATACATACTTTTATTTGCAGGAAACTTAAAGCTCAAGTAAAAATCGACTAAGAGTTGTTGCATTAATTGTCTTTAAAGATAATTCCTATTTTTGATTTAAAAGAAAAACAAAAAAAAAATTAAAGAAACTCGCTTTCTTTACGTGATTATATCTAGTTTTTCTTTCTTTTTTTTTTTTTTTTGTATTATAATTATCCATATGTTAGTGGATTTTGTTCCCGTTCCTTTTTATGGTCTGAAAAAAGATTTTAATAAATTTATTTTTCATTTTTTGCTTTATTTAATTGAAGTTATTTTTTTATTCAACAGTCAATTTGCTCCCTTATCAACTTCAGAAAGAGATCGAAAAAGAGCTAAAAAAAAAACCTATGGGAAACTATATTCCACGCTCACTTTCGAGTGATTTTAGTATACCGACGGCTTTAAATCTTATCTTTAACGTAGCTGTGGCAACTGATCATTCATCCGCACCTTTACACTCTACTCTTTTCTTGCCCTGGAAAACATAAAGCCAGATTTTTGTGCAATATACAATCTTTGATGAACTATGAACTAAATATACCAATGCCAACTTCTATCTTTCTTTTCTGACTTTATCTGATTTTAAGGTTTCCAATAGCAAGTAGAAGAAGAAGAAGAGTTTTATATATGTATATATATGGAGTAGTAAGAATATATTTTCTTAAGAATTCCCTGGCTGCTGTGAAATCACTGGTCGTAGCATTTGAATAATTACTTTCATAATATTTTTATGTGGATAATTGCAAAAGAAATATGTATATATATATAGTACATCTGATTACCTAGAAATAAGCACAAGAATTCTGATTAATTATATATAAGTCTTCATGAGTTTAGTTTCAGTCATCTTTGTCTTTCTCTTCGCTTTCAGTTCGCCATTCCTTGGTTTTGACGCTATCACTGTCCATATAAGTTTTGTTCACTTGGTAAAAATTAGTAAGTTTAAAAGTTCAAAAAAGTTAAGACGAGCCATGTTGCTAAAGTCACATAAAAAGCAAGCGAAAACAAATACGTTGCACCGCATTGCCTAACACAATTTCTGTTTTTGCCATAGAACACATACCTACCTCTTTGTATATGAACTTACTATAATGGAAATGGATATTAAAAATTAGACCTCTTTGCAAATGAAGGCTTATTTTCCATAAGAATGGTTGTGGCCAAGAGATTTAACCTCTTAGCCACTTTTGTCGAGAAATTTTTGTCTGTGCGGTGTATGTTGCTGGTACTCTCTTCGTCGTAAAAATCCAGATAGCGAATTCAAATTTGAACGAAACATTGGAAGTTTTTAGACGCAGGTTGATAAATTAGAAGGACTAAATTGATTGGAGCAGAAGCGCGTAGTGGAGCGTAAACTGAACGTAACTCTACTTTTTTTTAACAATATTTTGGGATTTTTGCTCGTTACTTGAAAATGATTAAAGTTAGGAAGATGATATTTTCCACATTTACTTTGCGAAGCATTCTACTTTTTACATGTACAAATGGAAAAAATCGGTCGTGCCCACATAAAGTTACGAGTAGTTATACTTTATTATTTTTTACTTTTTTTAGGCTTTTTGTGCTGTGTTTAAAACTATTTTGTGCAGTTCTCAAATGAAGATATATAATATCTGCTTGAAAATGGGTTCATTCTAAAATGAGTGTAGGCACCGCCATCAATTTTTTCTTAATAATACCAAGGTTATGGGTATCAAATAAAAGAACTTTGAGAGTAGAATGCGAAGACCATAGTAAAGCATAGTATTGCGAGACTCGGCCCCCGCCGAATATAAATTTCTTATTTGCTTTTTTTTTGTTTTATTTTACTTAATTTTATTTTAGCTTAGTATAATTTTTTGTAATACTTATATATTGCATTTTATTTTTATTGTCACTGCAGTCGTTTTTTTTTTTTTTCTTATTATTATTATTATTGCTTCTCATTAATCACTATTTCTGTAAACAATTTCAACTAAGAATGCTGGCAAAGTTCTTTCTATCAATAGCCTTTGAAATGTTTGTAAGATAAATAAGCATCAATACCATGGAGTATACCAGCAACGTAGCCCATGTACTGTTTATAGAAAAAAAAAAAAAAAAAAAAACAAAAAAAATGGATATTAACACCAATTCCTTCGGTTAACTCAAATAAAAATTCGTTTAGAAAAAACTTACATACGCTGCTGTCATAGCAGGATAAGCCCAAAAACCAGGCTTTATTAGAAACTGTGGATGTAACCAGACAACACAAGCAAATCCCATATAACTGCAAGAGCTAAAATACATGCTACAAGCCACCGCATTGAAAAGTATTTCCTATTCAACGATACACACACACAAATTTAATAATTATTTGCTACAAACATTCATTTTTTTACTCACAAATAATGATTGTCGTATCAAACTAAATGATTTCTCTGAAAAGTAATAGCATATTAGCAATATCATTGTAGTTGTGAAGCAATATGCTGTTGTTGTCAGGAAACTGGTTAACGCCTGTCCAATGCTATCTGCTTCAGGTAAACCATATTTGATAAGCAAACTTTCGCAGAGTGTGGCCAAGAGCAATTGTAAAAGTTTCAAAAGACCCGCTTTTGATGTGGCAAAGCCAAAATTGACACAAGTACAAACGCGACAACAACATATCTTGATGCCAAAATTTTGACCCATAGAACGCATGCCAAACGAAGACATAATAATAGGCTTGTTCTTTTAAGTATTTTCTCCTCCAAGATTAAGTGAACTTAATCGATGTTAATTTTCAACTAAAATCGGAAAACAAAGAACGGATATAGACGTACGAGTAAATATGATTTGTCTTTAAATGGAGTCTAAAAATAAATGTGTTTTGTAGAACATACACTCGTCCTCCTTGGGGATATTTTATGTTACATCAAACTTACTTAACGAAGAAGATATTGTGCGTATGTCTTGCGTCATGGTTTATTGCGGCTATGGTAAGATAAAAATAGATAATGTATATATAAGAAAGTATGTGCGAGCATTACAACAAATAGTTTGTTTAATACACAGAATAAGGCATGAATTTTGCGTCTATCAAATAGCATCTAAGCTGCGAATCAATGGAAATGTAATTTTATCGACCGATCTCGTGCATCGTCGCTTACTCTCCCAAAGAATTATATTATTGCAGGGCAAACATTTACGTTAGATTGTACTGCGTGCATTCGCTTCAAGCGAATCTCTTCCGTAGCTCTTATAGCTTCGAACTTTCCCTTCACTCATATGTATTTTAAATCTACATAAACAATGAAATACTTATTCTACATGTGATGCGAATTAAGAAATAGTTCTGCCTTTACTAACGTACAGCAACTTTATCATTGCCCTTTCTTTACCACATATCAGAAATCCTGCAAAATACGTATGCTATTGGTCGATAATAAGAATCGCCGTCAATGTCTTTATATCGACCTATTATTACGATACTCAAAATCATAAAGCGGGAAAAGTTATATTCGACTTATGGTGTATTTATGATAGCCAATATCTTAAACGAATGCATGAACTTTGCGAAATATTTTTTATTGACTATGGACGCATCAGTTGGCCTTCCGTAGTATTATCCCCAAATTTAAGATGCAGACGACGGATGAAATGAGAGAGAGAGAGAGAAACAGAAGTAGCTTAACCGACATCTTACATTGATCGAGCATTCATCTCTTCTCTTTTTTACCATTTCTGACTCGGATTTTTGTGTATTGCAAACCGAATGACGAATCGAACAAGTGGCCATTCTTCAATGTTGGATGCATTAAAGCCAAACCTGGACATGAATCAGAATTTACTCTATTGCTCGTATTTTTCAAAAATGACAGCACGTAGCCCTCTTGGTTGAATATTTCTCCTTTTGTAGATCAATTTTCTGGAAATTTATTTTATATATGTGTCTAGTTTGTGAGAGACGAGCAAAAGACACAGAAAGCAAGCGTGTTCATAGGTTTGTTTGGCCTTTGACCTGCTTGGGCCATGTTCAAACTGTTTTGCTTTTGATTTGTAGGCGACAGCTTTCTTTTTTCTAAATGGGAGAATGTTTATCACAGACACTACTTAGCTGGGCAGGCGGGCAGATGGACAGATCAACATACGGACTAGCGGACGGATATGTTTAAGTGTATTCCGAATCTGTAAGTAGCCACTATTTATATATTTTACGAGGTTTTCGAAACTTGCTTTTGCGCCTAATAAAGGTATTGTAAAAAACACTATAACTCTAGGTAGGCGTGGTCAATTTTCCGAGTCGAGATTGATGAATACAGATTTCAAAAATATATTTTCTTTTGCAAATTCTTCGTAATAGATATTATAATAATATGAAATTTGGCTTGAAAAAGTCAATTGTTTGGACTATAAACAATTTAGATTTGATGGAAAATTATCCTGACTTGTATAATTTTATATTTTGATTGTTTAAATAAATAAACAAATACGTAAATAATTCTTATATACAATGGAAAATGTTTTCTCACAAGTTTTATATGCGTTTTTGAGTTTATTGCCCCTGCGCCGTTATAAGCATCATCTAGCGGCGGAGATCGCATCATTACGTCTTCCTATTACATAAAATAGTGATAATTGCTTTTCACAGTTCAGCTATTGTTATGTTCATTAATGTAAAATGATGATACACTAGTTTCGTCATTCAGTTTGCAAAATTTAAAAATACGAATCGAAAACTTCGCTATATATGCATATATATATATATACATATATCAGCCTCGGAATTCAAGTCGATTCAACATTTCTCCATGCTTGTCTTTTTTCCGAAAATTTAAGGTAGCAAATGTCGATGTAACTTTTTTTAACCCTTAAATGCATATTGTTGCCAATTATCTACATTCAATTTAATTTAATTTCAAAATCAAGTGGAATGAGCAATAATATGAATTTAAGTTTTAAAGCTCGTAAGTTTATTTATAATTCGGCTCCGATGCTTTTGAACTTGCCGTCAGATAAACGGTTAAAAATTTCAAATAACTAAAAACGAAACGAAAAATTAACTTAAATTTCAACTCAAACTTCATTACTAAATGTATATGAATATTATTCGGAAAAGGAATCGCATACGCTTTTACATTCCCAAGGAAGAGTTTAATTCGGATGATTGGAGAATTTCTTTTACTACTTGTAGATCCAGGCTTGAGTGAAGAGCATTATCAGAGTTCGTTGTTTACTTCTTTTTGTTGTCATATTTACAAGTGGAAGTTCTCAATTTCTTTTAATTATGTGAAAATTAAAACAAAATAAAAAAGAAGAAGCTTTTTCTACTCTACAATCAACTTTTCAAACACTTGTACCAATTACTGCACAAAAAATTTTATTACAATACGTAATTTAGTGATTATCTTTTTGTCACAATCGCTCACTGATTATTACAAATAAAATATTATAATAGCACTTAAAACTTTTCAAGTGTAAGGGTTTAATCGATTTTAAAGTCAAATTATATATAAATGCGGTCTGAAGACAATTCTTAGATCAGCTCAATGAAATTTCAATTGAAAATTCTATAATGAACGTCAAATTCACGGTTGCGGACGCAGGGTATAAAACAAAAACAAGTAAGAAATTTATATTCGATGGAGGCCGATATTCGCATATGCAGCACTATGTGTTTCGCATTCTACTCTCAAAGTTCGTTTATTTGATACCCATATCATTGGTATTATCCAGAAAAACGTAATCGCGGTGCCTACTGTGTTCATTTAGACGGACAGGCGTGGCTAAATCACTTCAGAATTTCACGTTAATAAAGAATATGTACACTTTATAGAGTCTCTGAAGTTTCCGTTTGGGTGTTGCATGCATTATGCAAGCAAAAGAACTGAGTATAGCCCTACGTTGCAGTCGAGGGTATAAAAAGTGTACTGAGGTCTTAGTTGATTCGTTATCAATTGTAAAACTTTTTTTTTTTTTTTTTTTTAATTGCATATATAATTTACAATCTATCCAAGGAGTTGAAAAAATAAATGTTATATGAAGATGAGAAAAATAGGAGGAGTCATTGTCCCTAAAAGAGACAATATAATAATACATTTTAGATATAGTGTTTAAATAAATAAAAAGAAATTAAATAAATCTAAAAAAATTATTCAAATAAATTAATGAACAAAATTCAATTAATGTGTCAATGGAATGTTCAATAAATGGGGGATGGTCATTAGATTCATCCAGAGCAGATATTCCCAAGGGACCTACGTGAAAAGTCTGATAAGATATTTTCACGAAATGCGCTGAATTAAATTTTTGATGAATGGAAAGTCCAGGTCGTCGTGCTCTGGGAGGCATTTATTTTTTAGATTTTGATTTTTAAGTTAAATTGCTGGCGTTCAGCTTTCATGGGATTTTTCCATGCTAATCTTTGGTCAATATGTAAGCCAAGATATTTTATAGAGTTTTGGATAGAGATATTATTGCCATTTAAAAGTAATGAATTTGCCGTAAACGTAATGTGCGTAGGCTTTTCGGCATTTGTTTTAATATTCCACGTGTTCAACAAAAGGGAAATTTTTGAAGAAGAATGAGAAGATTTTGTAGGTAATGGGATTGCTGTATCATTAGCGTACATCGCAGTTGAAATATTATCAGCGATCGGAAAATCTGAAGTGAAAATTGCATAACGTATTGGACTTGGAATATTTCCCCGTGGAACTCCAGCTTCAATTTCATATATATTGGATCTGTCATTTTCAATTTTAACATAGAAATGTCTGTCAAGGAAGGATACCCCGATAACGCGAACCCCAAAATATGTTAATTTCTATGGGATGGTCGACAAAACTAAAGATACAAACTGGACTCTTTACACGGCCGTCGGAGCGAATGACAACTATTGGCAACCCAGTCCTCAGCAGTAGTTCGTAGCTCAGATCAATAGTGCGCTATGATGCGCTAATCATTTAGTTGATGGAATGTAAATGACAGTTCATTCTTTTCGACTTGCGTTTTTATACAAATTTTTTAAGTTTCTTACAATAGCTTAAAGCTATGTGCTTGCGTGTTCTTTACAAATGTGTTTATTTAGCAATAAGTTTAATTTAAATAAAATAATTGCTAATTAGATCATTTCTTTCAATAATGTACGTCATATAACATTGCTGCATGTAATATGTTCCTGTGCAAACAGTCGTAATGTGATACATTGTTGAGCGGACCGTAATTGAAATGAAACAATATGTGGTGAAAGTGCTGAGTTTATTGTACTTTTACTTTTACAGTACTTTCTATATAAGTACACCACAGCATCCATCAGAATCACCACATCTAGCTTTCTCTGATGTGTTAGTTTGCTCTTGAAGAGCAAAGTGTGGCAAGAGTTTCTCATAAAAGGCTAATAAAAACACTACAGTGAATCACGGTCCATCATTAAATGTCATACACCGTCCTATAGTTATTCATATTTTCAAAATTCGACAATGCACGGTAAATGGTCGAAAATGTGGTCTAATCCGAAACTTCCTCAATCGTTTTTCATACCAAATTTCAAAAATTCCAATCAAATTATCTCAATAATTGCGGCCTAGGTTGAACACAAGAAAACAGGACATATAGACGGACAAACAAGCCTAGGCGAGTTTATCTCAAGTACCTATGGGAATTGCATACATCCCCACAAACTTAATATACACTTGCACGACAATTGGTGTAGGGTATAAAAAGATGAACATCTTGAA